ACTCTTCCAGCAATTAAATTCTTCCTGCACGTGGATACACAACAATTCCTCCCAGAAAACACTACAAAACATTTTACCAAGGATCACTGCTACACTGATTACACTGTGGGAATGACAGATCAGGCTCCTCAGAGTGCCAATTTCATGCTCCAAAGGAGAGCTAACCCCAGGCGAGACCGTCAGCTCTTCCAGGAATATGGTCCAGGTGACCTGACATTGCCCTACTGAAAAGTAAGAATATTCTTGGGGAGCAGCAGGTGACTACAGAAGAAATAGTATGTTAGGGTTTTTTTTTTTAAAGAAAATAAGACTTGATACAGAATCCAGTGTATTCTGTGAATGTGGTCATAACATAATCACCTCCTAAAGGGATTGCAAGAAAGTCAGACGGCAAAGCCCTGGGGGATTATAAAGTGGTTATTCTCTCGGTTTTTCCATCCTCTAACTTGCTTTGATCACCTGATAAAATTGATTCTGTGAGAAGTCCAGGCCCCAAAGCCTTACCTCTGTTTTTACATGATACTTAGATCCAAGGGATTTGTTCCATTTTTGTTTTCTTGTCCATAAAGGAGATCTGGCTGTAGGTGATCTGCTCCCAAGAGCCATTCAACAAGAAACGTCATGCCAGCTGAGCTTCTGGAAGGTGACAATAATAGGAAGGGGCACTGTCTAGTTCATTCCTGGTTTAATCTGAGTGAAAAAAAAAAAATCACCACTTCTGCAGATGTGAGAGCTAGTCTAACTGTGAAGCACTTCTAAACGCTGCCTGGAGATTTCCTTCTGTGTTGTGATGGCGTCTTGGGCCTGATAAAATTCCCCATGCAACTGTCTTTCCAGCAGTCTCTCTGCGTCACATCCCACGTGGTAGGAAGCAGGGGAGTGGAGAGGCCACAGATACGTCAAGGTATAAAATGACAGTGAAAGGAGGGTGTAAAGAAGTAGGAATACGGGGAAGGGAAGTTAAAAAAAAGAAAATTAACCAGAAATGTGACAGAAAGAAAAGGGCGGGAACACGTGTGGCTGAGGAAACATTTTTAAAGATCAGGTTATCTGTAAGATCAACCAAAGTGAACGGCAGCAAGATGGGGAAGCCGGGCTGGTTTTATTACAGGGGACAGGCTAATGTTTTTCTCTCCACTGTAAACACATGACCTCTGTACTGCGTGCCACTGTGGGAAGCGCCTGGCCTGGCAGCGTGGCTGCAGAGTGACAGTGTGTGTGGCTGTGGGTCCCTGTTAACTCTATTGCTTGAAGACAGACAGAGCTTCCCTAGTGCTGTAGTTAAGGCAGTTTCAGAACACGGGCTGCCCTGTTTGCTCTCTGTTAGAGGAGATTCCTTTAGCCAGTCATGTCCCACTCATCGGCCATCCACTTCCTGTTTCGCTTCTTCCCCAGGTGAAACATCACCACACTGGTGAGCACCACAGAGGTCAGAGTGCAAATGACGGAGGTGGACACGTCGCCAGAGTGAGTGAGAAGGGAGGCCAATACCTGCTACCTATTATTGCTGAGACGTCACCTTGGTGACTCGGATATGACCAACAAGTTGCACAGTGCCTCCTTCAGTGCTCAGAAAAGCACTTCCATTTGATTGAACCTAAATTCAGGAAAGTTTGTTGAAAAGTGACATTAACGTTTCATGGCTTTGAAGACAAACTCATATTGCTACAGCTGTGTGGCAGCAGTGACGTGCGGGCGGACTTACTGCCCTCACAGCTGCTGCACAACAAAATTCACGTCATCAGCCCTTCTCAGATTGGTCAGACTTACGGAAATAAATAAAGAAACACAAAGCATCGGCCACGCGAAGGAATCAGGGAGGCCCCTGAGGAATAGCAGTATCTCCAGAGAGGATTTCAAATGCTAACCTGAGGATCACTCTGTGCTTTGAGGTTTTATTTCTACTAACTACTGTTTTTTGTATTTCAGAGAGGAAAGTGGTATTTTTTTCTTCAAAATGAAATGCTGGCAGGCATGAACTTGGGGAGCGACTCACACATGAGAAACACAATGCACAGTCTGAAAGTGGTCTGGGTGGGCTCGTTTTTCCGTGTAAGGGACTCATGTGGTGGCAATCCCCTCAACTCTGGGGAGAGATTCTGACCATCACATATGCACACAACCACCCTGCCACTTCCTCCAGGAGCCTCCTGTTCTGACAGATCATTTGGAAATCACAAACGGGTCAACTCTCTAAACTATGGATGTTGGCGTCTCCTAGGACCTGGGCAATAATCTTGGCCCACACTGCAACACTATTCTCTCATCTGTCCTACTGTTCACTGGCATAGAAAGACCTTCAGCTTTTGTTCACACCTGCCTTCTAAAGGCCAAACCATCTGGTGCCTAGAAACTCTTTCCCCCTCCCCCCACTTTACATAAGCATCAAATATGTTCTTTCTACAAATTGGTATACAGGTGCCATTTAATCAGTTCAAATTTGGAAGCTACATCTTCAAGGGTCCAAGAGAGCTCACTCCCCCCACCCCGTGTTTTCCCCCTTTACATGTTTTCTTATAAGACATACAGCTTAATCAATTAACAAACTAAACAGCTTATATACTGGCAATATATTACAGATGGGTTTATGTCAGAGTATTAGATCACATGGAATGGACCAGGTGGTACCGCAGTGCATGATGCCTGGGAGCCCCTGAGGACACTGACAGTAGCGTCTCTACGTAAGTGGTGCCGTGTGAATACAGACACATGCGGATCTGTATCTCCATCCATCTGACTAGGCCAAAGGAGCAGGTAGATGCAAGATAGAGACACACACATGCTGGATGGGCCGCTGCACCTCGTCATGCCATTCGAAAGGGCGGTTACAGGTTGCTGGTTTTGCAGCCATTGAAATTACACTTTAGGGAAAGGCTTCTCTAATCGTGTGTGATTGTGTGATTTGCCTTCTGTAGTTAAGCATCATCGGAAGAAGACCGAAGCAAGAGCAACTAGAAGTTAGATACGCGTTTGAGCTTAGCTGTGATACAGGGCTCTGGGGAAGAAGCAGGCTGAAAGACTGGTTTTGATTTTAGGCTTGGATTCACTCCCTTGCCATTTCCTTGATGTTGTGTGTTTGCGTTTGTGTGTGCGTGTGTCTGAGCGTGTGTGAGTGTGTGTGTGTGTGTGTTCCATCACATCATCTCCTGAAGAACGCTGGGTTTCGCAGGCAGGCGGCTAGTCACCTGCAACAACCCAGGGGCCCTGCCGAAGCTTCCAGGCTGCTGTCAGTGTCGGATGCCAGGGTCTGGTCGGTGGACATGGAGGAGATGTCGTTGACGGATGAGGATGGAGGGAGACTCTCGCTGCTGTTCACTGCTGCACCTGTGCTAAGAAAATGAAGACCAACATGACTAAATCTAGAACCAGCCACGCCAAGGCCACGCAGGAGGCACAGGGCCACGCGCAGCAGGAGACGTCAGCTCCATCATTTGTCTGGCAAACCTTCATCAAACACCGATACAGGGGACTCCACGAGACGGTGACAGTCAAAGCAAATCAATGTGGAGTCCCTGGTCATGAGTTATTCACAGGTTAGTGCAAGTGGTTACGGATTTCTCTCTGTATTAGAAATCACTTAAAAAACCCCAGTAGTATCCAGTCATACCACCTCCCTAATTTTGTAATAAAATTGGCCTTGGGTGACGTTTAGGCGCTTGCAATTTTTAAAAGTTCTCCAGAGATGTCAGGGATAGGCAACCACTGGTTATGGATAAGACAGATGAGCACAACTCTTTAGTGTAACCACCTGAGCCTGGTTGCTTTCACTGCAGGTAGCTTTACAAACAAATGTAAGGGTGTCCAGACATTGGAATTGCTTGGAGACTACAGCGCCAGAGAAAGAAGGCATATAAAGCAAACGTTACAATCATCATTAATATGACATCAAACTTCAAATATATATAAAAAGCCAAGCAGGACTTAGAATAAAAGTTACCAAAAGGAGGGGGACATCCTTTTTGATTATTTGCTTGCTTTTCAGTTTACCTGGGATCTCTAATAAGAATTTTTAGCTTGGAAAAAATTTCTTTTATTTATCAGCTTGTGGGACTATAAAGATGTTGAAACTCAGAGCAGAAACTTGCTCATAGTAATCACTCAGCAAAGGCTTGCTGAGTTACAATAGCTTTGAGAACAACGGAAGAAAGATAAAAAAACAAGTATTGCCAAATATAATTAAACCACAGCATGCTAGAAACAATTTATTTTTTTTTTCAAATAGAAGTATGTCTATTATAGAATACTTTCATCAGTTAACTTCTTTTTCTTTTTATATGTATATTCTTAAACAATGTGAGGGGTAAAATGCTTGCTTTATGAAAGAGTTCACTATCAAAAATATCTGTAGTAGAATCACCCAATCAAATAAAAGATGAGGAATTCTGACTTGAATTGTATCTTATTTGAATGACAAATAATAAATCCAAAAGAAATTACAATGGAGTTAAGACATGGGCCTAATAAGTCAGAAAGACAAAACTAAACTAAATTAAAGCAGTGCAAGGATTAACACAATCTTCCCTGTTCCTGGGATGGACCTTTCTTGCCTGTGGAAATAGTGTGATGGAAATGTGACCATGTCTAGAGAGAAGGCAAATGCCTCCACAAAGAGAGGGTACATGTATGTTATGTGTATTTTAAAACTGTATTTGTTGATTGTAAATATATTTATGTAAATTATGACAAATATGAAAAAATACAGGAAAAAAGGTCATAATATTCACTGATCTTAAAATAAATGCTAAGAATTGTTAAGTTTTTGGTATATTTCTTTCCAGTCTTTTTGCTAGGAAGCTTCCCTAGTTGTGATAATTTAATACATATCTTAATATTTTCCCATACAAAAAAGCTTAGGCATTTTTCATGCTCATTAAGCTCCTAACGTTGTCCATACTTAATCTTAAACATCTCTGGAGGAGATTTTTAAAGTACTCTTATTTTTATCTTCCTGCCAATAATTACTCTCACTGTCAGAATGTGCAATGTAAAGTTTTCTGCCTTCAGTTTATTCCAACTTTACTTAATTATACCCCTTACAGATAAGGCTCAGGCCTCGCTCATTTCCTCCCGTGATAAGATTTCGTCTGCTAGCAGACCGCCCTGGCTTCTCTCACGTAGCCCAAATGCCTAATTCTCCTCCTCCCCAGTTGGGATTCAATTATAGCAACAGTCTTCTTGTTCTTTCATAAGCTCTGGTTTTCATAATTTAATGTTACCATGCTGGACTCTGCAGAAGTCTCTTCAATTTTTTCACATTCTTATTCAAGGGTCGAGATTAAAACTGGACCCAGGACTCTAATAAAGGCCTGATCAATGTGGATCCGATGGAACGAGACTGCTTTTTCCCCCTTCTGTCCATTTTGTCCCCTGGATGGTAGATCCCTATACTATCGATGGCTTTCAAATCATGTGCCACAGTTCAAATTTAGTTTGACTTGAGATATTAAATGATGTCTGTGTAAAATTTTGTGATCACCTTATTAAGATATAATTCACATATCTAATTTAGAAACTTAATCTGTACAGTGAAGGTTTTTTAGTATAGTCCCAGCATTGTGTAGCCATTGCCACAATTTCATAGCATTTTATCACCCCAAAATGAAATCCTATACTCCACTCCTTGCCTACCTTCTAGCCCTAGGCAATGACTAACTTTCTTTCTCTATAAAATTGCCATTCTAGACATGTCATACAAATGGAAGCATGCCATATGTAACTGTTTGTCTGTGACTGGCTACTTTCTCATAACATAGTATTTTCAAGTTGTTGTGTGTATCAATACTTCATTTCTTTGCATAGCTGCATAATATTCCATCCCATGGATACGTAATATTTTGTTTGTTTATTAGTTGATGGGCATTTGATGGACTTTTAGGTTCTCTCAGTTTTTTTGCTGTTATGCATAATGCTACTATGAACCTTCATGCACACGTTTTGTGTGGACATATTTTCATTTCTCTTGGGTGATATACCTAGAAGTGGAATTGCTGGGTTAGAGAGTAATTTAATTTTAACAGGTATGGAATTTCCAAACTGCCTCATAAAGTGGGGATGGCACTAGTTTACATTCCAACTAGCAGTGTATGAGGACTCTAATATCTCCACATTTTTGCCAACACTTACTATATGTCTTTTTGATTACAGTCATTCTAGGTGTGTGAAATGGGGTCCCACTGGGGTTTGATTTGCATTGCCTGATTACTAACAATGTGGAGTATATTTTTCATGGGCTTTTCAGTCATTTGTGTATCTTCTTGGCAATAAATCTACTCAAATCCTTTGGCCATTTTGTAACCATAAGAGCTCTTTATATGACAGTTACAAGTCCCTTATCGCACTTGATCTTAGCCAAAAGGTCGAGAAGGGATTCCCTTATCAAATATATTATTTTCAAATGCCTTTCTCCTATCTTATGGATTGTCTTTTTACTTTCTCAAAGGTGTCTTCTGAAGGACACATGTTTAAATTTTGATGAAGTCAGACTTATCTGTTTTTTTCTTTTGTCATTTGTGCTTTTGGTATCATATCTAAGAAATGATTTCCTAACTCAAGATCATGAAGATTTACTCTTATGGTTTTGTTTAAGAATTTTATAATTTCAGACCTGACACTTACTTCTATGATCCATTCTGAGTTCAGTTTTGTACAGAATATGAGGTATCCATCTTTCATCCTTTGCATGTTGGTATCTAACTGGCCCTGGACCATTTATCGAGAAGACTATTCTTTGCCCATGAAATTATCTTGACATTTATGTCAATTATCAGTTGATCATAAATGTGAGACTCTCAATTCCATTCCACTGATCCACTTGTGTATCTTCAGATTTATAGTAAGTTTTAACATCAGGAAGTGTAAATCCTTCCACTATGTCCTTTTTCAACATTGTTTTGGTGATTCTGTGTTCCTTGCATTTCCACATAAATTTTAAGATCAGCTTGTCAATTTCTGCAAAAAGACAGCTATGATTTGGATAGGTACAGTGTTTAATCTGTCAGTCAATTTAGGGAATATCACCAACTTGACAATATTAAATCTTATAACCCATGAACAATAGAATGTCTTTCCATTTATTTAGGTCTTTTTTCATTTCTTTGAACAATGCTTTATAGGTTTCACAGTATAAACTTCTCCCTTATTTTGTTAAATTTATGTCTATTTTTTTCCTTTTTAGTGCTATTATAAATGAACTGCTATCTGTACATTGCTACTGTGCAAAAATATAACTGGTTTATTGGAGTAAGAAACCTCTGTGCTTTGGAATCTAAACTGACCAAATGGTGCCATGTGCATCTTATGAATGTTATAATTAATCAAAATGCCAGAGGAATAAGGAATATTTTTGCTAGCATGCTTTTTTATTTAAATTATGAGAAAAAATCAGTTTGAAAGTTTTAAAATAAATTTTTGGCATAATGCAAACAAAAATAAAAGTATCTTTACATAATGGCCTTGTACCTCTCTTGAGGTGGGTTTTTTCTCCTATCCTGGCTGAAGTGGATTATGTAGGTATGTTCTACTGTCAGGGTTACAGCTGAGTAATGATCCAAGGAAGAGTGAGATAAGGCTCACTGAGATGGGCTCCCTTACAGAAACACAGGTTGATGTTTACAAATAAACAGAAGCCACAACAATGACAGCAAGAGAAATTGCACAAAGAGCATTGAGGAAATTTCCCCAGCAAAACACGTATTTACATGTATAAA